TTTGGGGTGGTGGGGGGAAATGCTGAGGTGGGGTAAAGCCTTAGTTGCAAAGACAGCTAGAGTTTCCCTTGCTAATTGGGTGATTATCCCTGCACCCCCATCCTTGCTTAGAAGGTGGAGGTCGGAAAGCCCGGGTCTCCTCCGGCTTTCTGAGCAGTCGCCTAGTCGCAGGGCCTGTGCCTCCGGAGGACGCGAGTGGAAGGCGTGGCGGAGCCGCTGAAGAAGGCTGGTGGGGATCGGCCAGATCCCGGCCAGACACCTGCCCAATAGCAGTACGTGTCACTGTGAACTCAGGGGATGGGAGCCGCAGGCGTGCGAAGGAGCGTCGGGGAGCCCAGCGTCGGGGAGCCCAGAGTCTGTGGCACGTAGAGCCCCGTATGTCTGGAGAGCTGGAGTCACAGGTGCACACGCCGAGAGTGCGGGGAAAACCCAACTAGGACCCCCAAGAGGGACTTCTTGAGCTAAGTATATATATCTCAGAGATATCTTGGGAAAATGCAGTGTGTGTGTGTGTGTGTGTGTGTGTGTGTGTTTGGTTGGGGGATGGTTCCTGCCCCCAAAGAAGTTTCGGTTTTCGGTTTTCCGAAACCCTCTACAGACCGGTGCGGGGGAGCAGCCCTCCCAGGGGCGACGGGGCGGGGCACGAATCCTGCCGCTGCTTGTCGCCCCCTCAGGCCGCCCTCCTCGGGCTCAAGATCCCGGGCATAAGGTATTTGACGCTGAGGGAACCTTTTCCTTTCACCTCTGGTGTTGGGTTCTCTCCTTCCTCCAACTTCACTCATCCCGGACTGATGCCTTTACCTTTTGAAACTAGTTTCCTCATTTGAAATGGGTGCAATGGTACCTACCTTGCAAGTAATTAAATCTTTTTCTCATTCCCTTACTTGCTTTTTATTTTTATTTTTTTTGTCTTTTTAACTTATATTCACCCTAGCTGGAACTTTGTGCCCTTTGACCAACATCTCTCCTCCTTATTCATTTATTTATTTATTTATTTATGCAAATTCTGCACCAGAAATGTATGTATGCGGTGTTCTCAGCCTTTTGCAATTTGCTGACCTAGTTAAGGGTTTTCTTCAAATAGGTCAATGGTTTGTTCCTTCCTTCTCTCTCTCTCCTCTCCCTCCTTGCTCTACCAACTTACCAGGGGAAAAGGATAAGCACAAATGCAGCAATTGTAACATGAAAGGTTTACATGTCTAATGGTCAGCAAACACTGAGTTAACCGAGGTGTGAGCTAAGCTGCAACAAATCAGGGTTGATGCAAATTAAAAGCCAAAATAAAAAGCTCCCATGACGTACTGATCAATTTCAATTTAAGGGCCCAAAGCATAGAATTCACTTCCAGTATGTAACAAAGTGCCACAAACATTTTGAAATGAAAAGTGCAAGTTTCTAGTCAAGGGGATGGCAGAGGGTCATTTGATGACATCACTCCTCATTTATACAGGACTTAATGAGAAAAGAGGCTTGTGGAAGGGAGCGTGAAGTGTTGGCTTTTTGCCTACAGTTGGCTTGTGGCAGCTGCGCCAGGCTCTGCGATGCCAGGTCAGCAGGGAAGGGTCTGAGGGTCACATGGTGGTGTATCCACTCTCCAGGTCGCATGCCTCCTCTGGGCTATTTCTGTGATGCATGGCTCCAGAGCAGGTTTAGACAGGTGGGGAATGTGGTCCGCAGGGGACCTGCACAGAGCAGCCTTCTTGGACTCTATGTTTAAGGGTTAGAGGTTCTGGAGACCCAACAAAAGAACATGTAGCTGAAAGGGTAAAAAAAAAAAAAAAGTGAGATTGTCTTCCTAAGGAGGGTGGCCAGGAAGGAGCTTGAAGAGTCAACGACTTGGTTCTGGTGAATACTACCTTAGATCCTTCCCTGGGCCCTGTGCTTTGGGGAGCCTTGTTTTGTCCCTTCTCAAATCTTGCCTCTCCCTACTAGAATGGGAAATCCAAAGAAACTAGGGGATAAGCCCACCTAGACCAGTGGTTCTCAAAGTGTGATTCCCTGGACTAGCAGAATCAGCATCACCTGGGAGCTTACTGGAAATACAAACTCTGGGCCATACCACAAACCTCTGAGGCTGGAGAGAATTTGCATTTCTAGCATGTTCCTATGTGATGCTGATGATGCAGATTTAAGGACCACTGCACGTTTTGTGGCCTTGCAAATCACTATTCTAGTCCAAGTTCCAGGTACCTGGGCCACAGGATTCTTGTCCAAATATCCCTGAACCCACTTCTGGGGCCTGGGCACTTCTTCATCTGGTCTTTCCTCCCAAGAGTGGATCACAGCACGGATGTGTGCACCTGTAGGACCGGAACACTTGGATTGGTTAGCTGCTGCGGTGTCCACATGCAAGCAGGTGGGGCCCCTTGAAGTGTGGGCTGGAGCTGTTGTGGTTAGAGAAGGGAGCAGGATGGAAGCCAAAGCCCCCATTTCTACTTTTGCCCTGAGACCTGGAAAGGGTAGAGTTGCATTGGTTTTGCTAGAAAGATGAACAGAAATCTTAAGGCTGCAAAATCAGTAGAGACCTCTCTCTACAGCTGCTTGCCTCAGTTTCAGCTATGCAGACTAACCATTTATTAGCTCACACTTAAAAAAAAAGTGAAAACAAAAGCAGGTTGATTTCCCTATATTGCATGAGAGAGAAATAAAGAAATCACTATTCTTTACACCTGCCTAATGCTCTCCAGCCAGTGGCAAATCATCTTGAGAATTATGTAATAAGACATGGAAATGATTTCCTAAGGGAGTGCAGGTTTTATTCCTAGCAAGGCCTGCAAAGACAGTTTGGATTGAACCCCCCTTCCCTGGCCACTCCTGATTGCTTTGAGACTCCAGTTGGATTAGGGGCTAAATGCTCCAACTCCAGAATTAAATAGACTTAAGGATGGATCTCACCCTTACCACCTACTAGCTGTGTGACTTTTGGTAATTAACTCAATTTCTCCGAGACTTGGTTTTCCCGTCTGTAAAATGGGAACAATATGAGTACTTACCTTACAGCACTGTTCTGTGCATGTGGATAAAGATTAGAAACATGTCAGCCCTCACACCACTTAGCTAGTGCAGCAAGTGCCTTAGGTTTATTCCTCTCATCACATCCCTGGTTTGGGGAGAGAGGTAGGAAAGTGTATCCTAAGGCAATAGGTCCAGAGATCTGGGCGGTGGCTAAGCACTGTCAGACACAGGTTTCTTTAAAGAAGGAGAAGAAAGTGTGCTGAATTTCCCTTGATTTTAATGTGACCCTGGTTGGTTTGAAGGTCTTGACTTCCATAAATCAACTGCCTCCAGCAGCTTTTCCCTTTTCACCTCTCTCACCCTTCCCACACTCCATCTCAGGTTGGGGCATGTGTGTGAGAGTGAGGCAGCCGGCCCTGCGGTCAGCCCTGAGTGCAAACTAGGCATGGCTGAGGCTCCAGAGCCAGTGCCCCGGGGCTACATCTGGACTGGCAGTGAGGGTCGCAGGAGGGACCCAGTGACACTTTTACTATTGAAATCGACCCAAACTTTACTAGCTTCTGGGGAAAGCTGGGGGCTTTGGGGATTTTTGTATTTGCTGGGTTGTAAATATTTTATGGGAAGGCAGCCCAGGAAAATCTGGTTAGCTTTCCGCCTTGCACACCGAAGTGGAATTGGCTTCGTGCACAAATGTGTAAAAAAAGAAGCCCAGTTTTGCCTTGGTTCTGAAGAATTTGCCTTGGATTTTAAGAGACTGCTATCCCCTCCATGTCTCCTAAATTTCTTTTTCTCACTTGCAACCAAAAAATTCATCTTCAGGATTAGTTGCAAAGCAAGAGAATTTTAGATTGCGTGGTGGGGGCAGGGATGGGGGAATGTCACTGTGTGTGTGTGTGCGTGTGTGCCCAAGTGTCCCCGGCTGAGGTCTCCTTCCAGGTATGCTTATTTCTCATTGACTGCAGGATCTTCTCAATGGATAGATGCCTGGTATTCCTGTTTGTTCATTTGCTGTCCCCTCCCATACTCCTGAAAGCCTCAGCGCTCCTTTGTTTCTTGTTAAATGATTGGTGAACGAACGAATAAATAAAGAAATAAAATCACTTAGCAGCTCTTCATTCTGTCTGCACCGTGTTGGGCCTAAATGCCTTAGCAAACCGCCTGATGGGCAACAATGTTTCCCCAAGACTAGTGGGTCTAAAGTAGAACTGCACCTTTAAATCATCTTGGAGTTTAGAAAAAACAGACAAAAAACCCTAACAACAAACAAAAACCCCCATGCCCTGTGTTGCTATCGATTCAATTGGCTGTAGCCAGCCCTGGCACTGGGCGCTGGTGGTTGTGAAGGTCTCCGGCCGGTGCTGGTGGGCAGCCAGACGGAGACTCGCTGCTGTGGAAGTTTCTCACTCACTGGCCGGCGCGCACTCTGGGTCAGGCACAGCTCCAGGTGCAGGGGTCCGGGACAATGACGTCGTCTTAGCTCCCAGGGGCTGGTGGAGGCGGGGCGGAGTGCTGCTGGGAAAAACAGACCCCTAAGGAGACACATAGACACCGGGCAATGGTAGATAACTCTAAGTGCCGGCTGGATAGTAAGCCAGGGTCCTCGGAAACAGCGACCGAGAGGGGCTACTTCAGATCGGGGTGGTCGGGGATGGCCTCTTGGAGGAGGTGACATTTGAGACGTGACTGATGAGAGCGGGCCAGCCTAGAGGAGTCTAGGGGAAGCGCGGCCCAGGCTCGCGACCACAAAGGGCACATTAGCGGTTACGCAGCCTCTTGGGGGGGAAACCCGGAGGCCGCCACCGCGGCTGCCTCGCCAGCAGCCACCGGCTTCCGCCCCGGGAGGAGGGGGCCTGCCTGGTGCGCCCTCCCCGCGCCGCGCTCCAGCCCGACGGCGAGCCGGGGTGGCCAGGCCCCGGGCCGGCCGAGCAGGGCTCCCCGGCCGGCCTGGCCCGCTCCCCGCCCTTTTCCTCCCGGGGGCGGCCGGAGAGCACCGGGCTGATCTCCCCCTTAAGTGAAACTGACTGTAATTATTTTTTATCTCGCAGACGATCTCTCGCACACTCCTCTCCGGAGACAGAAGTATTTGTTTGATGTGTCCACGCTCTCAGACAAAGAAGAGCTGGTGGGCGCGGAGCTGCGGCTCTTTCGCCAGGCGCCGGCAGCGCCCTGGGGGCCCGCGGCCGGGCCGCTCCGCGTGCAGCTCTTCTCCTGCCTGCCGCCCCTGCTGCTGGACGCGCGGACCCTGGACCCGCAGGGGGCGCCCACGGCCGGCTGGGAAGTCTTCGACGTGTGGCAGGGCCTGCGCCGCCAGCCCTGGAAGCAGCTGTGCTTGGAGCTGCGGGCCGCGTGGGGCGAGCCGGACGCCGCGGAGGCCGAGGCGCGCGCGCGGGGCCCCCAGCAGCCGCTGGCCCCGGACCTGCGGAGTGTGGGCTTCGGCCGGCGGGTGCGGCCCCCGCAGGAGCGCGCCCTGCTCGTGGTGTTCACCAGGTCCCAGCGCAAGAACCTGTTCGCCGAGGTGCGCGAGCAGCTGGGCTCCGCCGAGGCTGCGGGCCCGGGTGCGGGAGCCGAGGGGTCGTGGCCGCCGCCGTCGGGCGCCCCGGACGCCGGGCCTTGGCTGCCCTCGTCCGGCCGGCGGCGGCGGCGCACGGCCTTCGCCAGCCGGCACGGCAAGCGGCACGGCAAGAAGTCGAGGCTGCGCTGCAGCAAGAAGCCCCTGCACGTGAACTTCAAGGAGCTGGGCTGGGACGACTGGATTATCGCGCCCCTGGAGTACGAGGCCTATCACTGTGAGGGCGTGTGCGACTTCCCGCTGCGCTCGCACCTGGAGCCCACCAACCACGCCATCATCCAGACGCTGATGAACTCCATGGACCCCGGCTCCACCCCGCCCAGCTGCTGCGTGCCCACCAAATTGACTCCCATCAGCATCCTGTACATCGACGCGGGCAATAACGTGGTCTACAAGCAGTACGAGGACATGGTGGTGGAGTCCTGCGGCTGCAGGTAGCGGCGCCTTTCCCGCCGCCTGGGCCCGGACCGCAGGGAGGCCCGGCTGCAGAGAGGCGGAGGAGGAAGCAGGCCTTGGGGGAGGCTGAGGGTGAGGGAACAGCCCGGACGTGAGAGCGGTGCGGGAAGAGGGAGTGCAGCCTTCCCAGAACCTTCCACCTGCCAGCCCAGAGGGAGTACGGATTTTCACACCTTGCCTGGCCACCCTGGAAAAACAAGCCAAGGAGGATTTCTTTCGTTTTTTTCTTTATTATTGTGGCTTTGGATTTCCTTGTGTGTCTAACAGGTTTTGATAGGAGGTGGCGGGGAGGGGAGACGCATACCTGTTTCTCAACTGCTCCATGGATTGAAAGAAATAATAGTTTAAAAAGGGAAACAGTGTGGGACGAATCACCTTTGACCACATCTTGGTTTGGTTGTTTTCTACCTGTGTAAAGAAGGTGGGGTCCTTCTGGCCATAACATAGCCCATATCTTGTGACCTCCCAAGCAGAAAGTGTTAGACAGAGGAATGGGAGAAAGGAATAGGAAATTCAGGAAGGGTCCTGCATTTAGAAGAGCTTTGAGAGAGGTGGGCTCAGGCGTGTGCTTCTCACCGGCTTGTGTACTCCTGAGAGTTTACCAGCTCCGCCCTGGCCTCTTCCAGCACCGACCACGGGCAACCTCCATCTCACTGCCCAGGGCTCAGGTCCATGCCTTTATTGTTGCTTTTTTTCTGGTGGGGGAAAGGGGAGCTGGTATGGATGGAATGACAAGAATTACTCCAAATGGAACCCCCTGAAGGATAATGCGAAACCACAAGGCCTGCCTCTGACTTGGGCTGACACAGAGGTGCCTTCCTCCAGGCTGGAGATGGCCCACCCCAATGCCCTTGCCGATAACTGTAATTGATTCCTTTCAACAGAATTTGCCAAAATTCAGAATCCCCTTCTAAGGGGAAGGTGATTTCCTAGTCAAAAAAAAAAAAAATAGAGGTAGGGATGGGAACAATACAATTAAGGTAAAAGGTTCAGAGCAGGAGAGCAGGACCCAAGAAGTCCAAAGAGCCACATCGGGAGGGGAGAAGGTGAGTCCCACTGCAGGATGGGGATCAGGGACAGGCCAGGAGAGGGAAGGGAAGGATGAAAGGGGACAGGAGACCCTGTCTCTGAAGTTTCTGTAAAATCTATGTTCCCTCCCCTCTCTCTGACATTCCTGAAAGATTACCAGCCAGCAATAGCCCAGGGCTCCCCCAAAAGAATTGTTTCAGATTGTAATTACCAGTTAGGCAATGTTTTTAAAGCTTAGTAATGAGAAACTGTGAAAAGAGCCAAGTGTTACATTGAGCTTGGGGTGGGAGATGGGGAACTGGCAGTAAGGAAGGAGGCAGGGGTGGGATTCATCTCCCGGAAGGAAGCAGGAGAGAGCACACAGCGAAATTGAAACACCCATTCCCAGCCTGCACCAGTATTATTTTCCATCATTGCCCATGCGTAGGCCCTTTGAAGTTAGCTTCCTCCTCATTTTTGACCATGAAATGGTTTCATCAAGGGAACTTGTACCAACGATTAAAAAAAGTTTTGGTTTTTCCTACATGGTTTTGCTCTCTCCCAATCTAAACCTGTTGCTTGTTTGGTTCAGAGAACTACAAACTGTCAAAGAAAGAGTGGGAATGATAAATGCTAATATAAAAAGCTAAGTAAAAAAAAAAAAAGACTTGGCCAGGAAAAATAATTTAAAATGCACATTTGCTTTGGATGCACTGTTGTTCTGTTAAGGCTGTATATATTTGTTTATTTAAGGTGACTGAAAGTGCAAAGAGGAAATGGACAGCATGCAATTCATCTTAATGTACAAAACGTTATATGCACTCAAATGTTATAATTTCTAATATTTTTAAAGTTTATATTCGAGTTGTACAAAGTTAAGCATTAATCAGATATTTCATTCTTTCATAATGTTATCATTTTCTTAAATATTATTACAAAATTTTAAGTCTGTCTAATGGAGAGTTTTTTTTTTTTTTTAACTGTCTACCTCACTATAATACAAGTATTTACAACACTAAAGTTACGGGAGGTCAACTAATATACCAAACATTTTTTACAGTACACCTTTCCTGGATGGTATCCAATCTAATATTATATTATTAAACTCATTTTTCTCCTTAATAACTCAGCCTGGTTTATATGGATCTACTTTGAAAAATCATTTTCTCAAGGAATTATCAGTGATAGCTTGTTCCAGTATCTGAAAACAAGCTGATTGTTTTAAAGTTCATCATTGAGAACATTGCACTTTTCCCCTCATAACTTCAATAACTCTTTTTTATGACATTTTCATTCACTAAACAAAAGCCAAATCCTTACCAGCCATTAGAACAGTGTTTATAAGCCTGTACTTGTTCCCAGCACTTCAAGAATCCAAAAAGGGATTGGATTATTTCTTGATTCTTTTAATGTTGAAAAAAGCAAGCAGTAAATTACCTATGTCAACAAAGATGTCAGCATTACTGTTTACATTTATGGCATACTGGAAACAGAAGATACAAATGTTGTTCTGTTTGTTCACTTGCTATAAATCGAGGGACCCAGGTGTAAATCTGAGCACTCACTATGTCAGGCACGATGTTATCGTACATGTGTTATCTCATTTAATTCCCTCAGAAACTCCATGAGGTAGATATTATTAATAATCCCCACTTTACAGATGAGGAACCAAAGTGCAGAGATTTTAAATAACCCACCTGTCATCACCCAGCCAGAGAGTGGTCCTTAGGATTGGAACCTACTTCGTTTGGACTCTAGAGCCTGAGAAGTTAACCACTATGCATCTCTGCCCCCATATCAAGTACCTGCTCTCTGGTCTCTAAGTGTCAGCATGGAGTGGCCAGCTGGTGGAGGAGGAGCTGCCACAGGGGCCACCAGCATTGCCTGCAGTTTGGGAGTATATGAATTGTGATGGACAGCTGAACAATGGGTATAGGTTACAAAAGTCAGGGAATTCTTAGCTTCTAGCTTGGCCCAGGAAACCCATAGTTTAGGTCACTACTGGGCTTTGGTAGGTTCTCTAGATTTTGCTGAGACTGCCTTGGGTGTGATTTTTGTGAGTTGTGGTTATCAAAATTATTGTCAATGTACAAATAGGTTATGTTCCAGAAAACTGTTAGCAAGTGGACTGTTTTGAACTGAGAAACATTTTTTCATGGACACAATGATTGTTTGAATTTCCAGGTCATTTTGCAAAAGCTTAATTTACCCAAAAGGAACTTTTTGACAAAGCAATTTTGACTTGTGGGTTTTGGGAAGAGATAATTACGTGGAAAAGCAGAAAAGAGACTCTCTTTTCTGGGTGGGAGGTATTTTTGAAATCCTTGGGAATTCTTTGCATTTTTCCACCACTTTTTCTATACCCCACCCCCAATTCCCCCAACCTCCCAACTGCCCTGAGGACTCCCAGCTCTGTACCTTAATATCTACCCAATTCAGAGATTTCCTTTTTTTGCACAAATGTTTCCATCTCCAAAGTTATTTTCCTTTCTTCCCTATATCACATAGTTTATTCCTTAATTCAGGTGTTAGGGAAAACACAATCTGATTGAATTCCATGAAGATGTAAATATCTCCTCGCCCTTAACCTTGGAGACATTTGCATTTTAAGTAGAAAATCTTGGTTAACTTGGTTTCTTGTGAACGATATGAAATAGTCCAGATGATAGTGAAGATTCAACACTCAAACCACACACAATTTTGAGAGTTGTATGCGAATTAGGCACTAGTGATACAAGAATGAATGGAGATATTTGTCAATGTGAATGTTTTTTAGTGTCCCTTAGGGGAAATTTTGGTAAGTTTTTGCCCTTATTAAGATAAGATTTTGCCCTTGTTTTGTTCATTGCTGTATTCCTAGCATCCAGAATAGTGCCTGACATGTAGCAGACACACAGTAAATATGTTGATGAATACATTTACAAATGATATTCTTCTACTGATCAATCTAGTAATTTTAAGTCACTCTTAAGGAAGCCTTTGATTAATGCTTCTTCAATGCAAGTTGAATGGACCAACCTCCCTTAATTAACCAATTCCAGTTTTAAACCTAGTTAATAAACTTCCTTTAAACATTGTATGTTACTTTTGTCAATTTGATATATATAGTCAGTTTCTTTTTAAAGCCCTTCAAGTTTCTCTAACAGGAAAAACCTTCCCATATACTTAGCCACTCCAAGTAAAGCCAATAAATTAAACTTCTAAAGATGGCGATTCAAAAGTTCTATTAAGCATTCCAATACTGTTTGTACTTTTTGAATTTACATCAGGAACCTAAAATTAATTACTCAATTACCCATGGAAATTGATCTCAGAGGCTAACCTGTTAGATATCTTAATAAACTACATTTTCTTAAAGCTTGCAAACATTTTAAAGACCAAATATACAGATATTGTCGTATTGATTGCAAAAACTATTTTCGAACTTAATACAAAAATGTTAATAATTTAGATTTGATTTACTTAATCTTTGTACTCTATTATAAAATTTCTTTGGGTTAAAAGCACTAACCTACTACCAAAAATTGTGGTGTCACAAGCAAGATGGGTAACTATTTTAGTAGACTGTGGCTGCAAATCTGCCAGAAGCTTTGGACAAGAAAGGAAATGGATTATTCTCAGGGACACTGACCAACATGTTAAATCCCTAGATCCCTTTTAAGAGTCACTGTAGGAAAGGAATCCCAAATCCATATCTTTTATGAGCTCGCCCTCTCCTGGGTTCAAGATAGGCCATTTAATTGATTTTTCCTTCTGATTTGAGTAAAGTGAATTCTATACTCCCCATTAAGATTGTAGCTAACTTTCTTCACTGATTAATTAGATTTCACGTTTATTGAACTCTCTTAGGACATTTCTATGCTTTCATCTTTGGCTTTAAAATGACTTTATGCCACTATATTGAAATAGTTTTCCCTTAGCATATTTTTTTCATAACCTCTTTTGACTTTATCACCAAACTTTGGAAATGAGAATGCTGTATATGTTTTTTTCTATATTCTTCCTGTCTGGAAGAGCTACACTCTTAAACAGATATTAAAAGAACAAC